TTTTCTAGCACAGGTATCTGTGCTTTAACTGTTTAACAACTCCGAGAGGGGCTGACTCTAGAAATCCTTCTGTCTCTCCTTAGCAAAGGGACTCTGTGGGGGAAACACTACAGTCCAGAGCTTGGACAAGTTATCTTTTTAAGCTACAATTCTCCAAATGTTCCAAGTAGAACTGAGAGCTCTAATACAAAAAGTAACTTTTTAATGTCTTGCTAATCTATGAATAACACCTGGGCATGGGCTAACGGTGACTTGAGAAATCTGCCCCTCTAAAAAGACAACTGCTTTTTAAAATTGTATGTGCACATTCATTAGTTGAAAATTTTAAAAAGCTTTTTTTAAAAAAGTCTTTTCAGAAATGCCATATTTCAATATGTGTATGGCAATAAGAACAAGGATTAGATAGGAAAAGAAATAAATATTATGATGATGTACTGCAGCTCCATTCCTTGCCTCTGGATCTTTTAAATGTTTCCTCCCTGTTTTCCTTTTTAGGAAACATATTTTCCCCAAATTTACATATGACAATAAGACAGAGCTCCAGGGCAACCTATCTTTTTGTTCCTGAGCTGTGCTCCAGGGCGTTCTGCCCAGTCACTCCTACCAGGTGCCTTTTGCTAGTGTGATAAACCCAAGTAAGCAGAAATAACCAGAAGGCAAAACCTTAGCATTGCATCAGAACCAGGACTCTCCAGTAGTCGGTGTCAAACAAACCAGGAACTAGATAGGTAAAGGAAAAGGTTCCCCTTGACAATTTTTGTCCAGTCGTGTTCGACTCTAGGGCGCGGTACTCATCCCCGTTTCCAAGCCATAGAGCCAGCGTTTTGTCCGAAGACAATCTTCCGTGGTCACATGGCTAGTGCAACTTAGACACGGAATGCTGTTACCTTCCCACCGAGGTGGTCCCTATTTATCTACTCGCATTTACATGCTTTCAAACCGCTAGGTTGGCGGGAGCTGGGACAAAGCGACGGGAACTCCCTCCATTGCGTGGATTCGATCTTACGACTGCTGGTCTTCTGACCCTGCAGCACAGGCTTCTGCGGTTTAGCCCACAGCGCCACCACGCCCCTATCGTAACTGGCTAACAATTTATAAATGCTTTAGATTCTGGTTGATAAGGGAGTGACCGATCAGCAGCCCTGGATGCAATACTGTACTGTACTAAGCTTTTGCATTGTGTGGTTATGTTAGCCACTTTTGTTGGAATGACTGGCCAAAATACACCAGCCCATTTCTTATGAAAATTAATTTTTCCCCATAATTCTGACGTATTAGTAGTGCACATATGCAGGCCACAACTATGTACCCCCAATGGATGGAATGGCACAAGCTTTACGGTGGTTTAAAGTGCACCCAATGTACACCATTTTAAACCATTGTAGGATTAATGACTCTGGCCAGTCAGGCTTGTCTTAGCAGGCTATGGCTGAAATCCTCTTGCATAATGTAGTGTATTGCACTAGAGTAGCCCTATTGAATCAGTAGAGATTTAGCAAGTCAAGTCCTGTGTGTTCCATTGATTCAATTATGCAATTTACTTCGATATAATAAATCACAACTAGACTAGGTCCACTTGAACCAATGGAACTTACAAAGACGTTGAGACTCAATGAATCTTCACTGATCAAATGGGCCTACTCTAGTGCAACTTACTACACTAAGCAACAGGATCTCGGTGTACACATAAAAATATTAATTCAAACTTGAGCATAACTTTAACCCTTCCCCATGACATAACTAACATTTATTGAAAAACACCTTGATTGCTGATAACAGGCTATCTGTGTAATCATTACTTTGATTGATCCTTACCAGAGTGAAACATTATTAGTATCACCCTTTTTTCTTATCTAACATGGTCCCCCTCCATCTACTATGTTCTCTTGTGTTTGTAAATTTGGGGCCTTACTATTATGCTCTGTGTTTTCTGGGGAAGTGGATTGTTATTTCTCAATGCTCACATACGGTATTATGTTATGCCATGGACATTATGTTTATGGAAATTAATTGGTTTTTAAGGTGCTGTAACTTTTTATTTTTATAATCCATGCTGAAACAGGTTAACACAGGTTTCTTTGAACATTCATCATGAAAAGACATCCATCTTCTTTAGCATGAACTGAGTTGCCCCTAGTCACCTCCAGCATTTCTCAGGGTGGTGATGGGGGATGTGGTGCAGAGAATTATAACAATGATCAACACTCATGAGGTATTTCAAAAACTAAATCAGACCGGTTATGGCAAAGAAAATGAATTCAGTCTACAAAAAAAAAACCCACAAAAAATGTAGGATGCAGGGTTATTTTTACAAAGCTAATCTGATGGCCCATCTGGGATTTAGAAATTATTTTGTTCTGTCTAAATTATATTTTGGTGCTCTGTTGTTGTTTTCTATCTCAATAAATTAAAAGCAATACTATATTGTTGTACTTTTATGTTTGCAGTTCATTGTTTGGCAGCTGGTACACCTGGTGATGACATTCCAGTGGAACTATTTAAAATCTTAAAAGATGACATTAAGAAGAGGTGGCAAGAATACACAGAGGAATTATACCAGAAAGATCTGGATGCCACGGACAACCCAGATAGCATGGTTTCTGACCTTGAGCCAGACATCCTGGAGAGTGAAGTCAAGTAAGCCTTAGAAAGCATGGCTAACAACAAGGCCAGTGGAGGTGATGGCATTCCAGTCGAACTATTTAAAATCTTAAAAGATAACACTGTTAAGGTGCTACACACAATATGCCAGCAAATTTGGAAAACTCAGCAGTGGCCAGAGGACTGAAAAAGATCAGTCTACATCCCAACCACAAAGAAGGGCAGTGCCAAAGAATGCTCCAACTACCGTACAATTCCACTCATTTCACACGCTAGCAAGGTTATGCTCAAAATCCTCCAAGGTAGGCTTCAGCAGTATGTGGACCAAGAACTCCCAAAAGTACACGCTGGATTCCGAAGGGGCAGAGGAACTAGAGACCAAATTGCTAACCTGCGCTGGATTATAGAGAAAGCAAGAGAGTTCCAGAAAAACATTTACTTCTGCTTCATTGACTATGCAAAAGCCTTTGACTGTGTGGACCACAGCAAACTATGGCAAGTCCTTAAAGAAATGGGAGTGCCTGATCACCTTGTCTATCTCCTGAGAAACCTATATGTGGGACAGAAAGCAACAGTTAGAACTGGATATGGAACAACTGATTGGTTCAAAA